TGTTGGCATAAATCATTCAATTCCAATAAACTCAATCATTTTATAGACAGGCATAATCAAATCGCAAGTAAAAAATCCCATGAACTTCATGGAGGAAAATGTCTCACTAACAACAATCTTCATATTGATATCTCCATATGAACTAAATTTCTAACTGTAAAACTCCAATCTCCAACCAATCCTTAACAGATTTGAAAATCCAAAAACACAGATATGTTGATGGCAAAAGAGAACTCCTCATGAAAATATACAAGAACATAACGTAATAGCAAGAATTAAGAACCTCAAGACATATAAGATAATCTTAAGGGTTGAAAAAATCAAGTATGAAATATCAATTCTTACTTTCTCCTTCTCCCGGTTAGTAGCTTTGTTCGTTTCCACTGTGATCTCCCTATTCCTGTAAAAGTCAACTTTGAACACATCTGCTTCATCAGAGATTTGGCTCAACACCTCTTTCTCCCTCTTTTCCTTCTCCTCCAGTCGAATGTTATTAAGCCTAAGGAGATTAAACACACCAAAACAGATACACTCTTATAAATCTTTGTTGATATGTTCTGTTAGAAGGAACAACACTTTATGCTAAGACATGAACCAACAATTACTCCAACAAAATGATAACAATCCGATACAAATAAGATTGAGAAAAGACAACTGTTTAGAGCTTCCAAACATCTAAAAGATTCCATTAAAGTTAAATGAGAATAGATAAAGTAGAAAAATATTTTCATGACCACATTTCTACTTCAGATATCACCACTCAACTACTTCGCTAAAGCAAAAACACAGCTTTTTCATACATAATAGGAGTAGACAATTACATTGGAGTATAGCACCCTAAATTTCGAGCCGAAAACGTTAATGAAAAATGACAACCACGCAAGTCATTTTTACAGCTTATATCTCCATATGATTACAGTTCCAAGTCAACAAAATTTTACAGTAAACCGGTTCAAAACCCCAAGAATGACACAATACCGTAAATGCCTCTGATCACACAAAAATTAATTAAATTAAAAGCGGTAAGCATCAGTTGAAAGATTTTAACCTTCTCCACTCTCTAAGAGCGGAACCTTGTTCCAGTTGCATCTCCGCCGGTGGCGGCAGAATTGCTCCATCCGATGTTACATCAAGTCCAGAAGAGAAAGAGGAGAATTCATATGGTACGTGGATCGGCTGTTCATAGGAATTATCGGCAATCGGGTTCGAAGTAAAAATGGGCGAATCATCGCCGGCGGGGTCATTGACGGACTCGGACTCAGCGAAGTTGGAGAAGGAGTCAAATCTCTGGGAAGAGAGACGAGGATCGTATCCGAGGTAACCGTCGTCGAACGGCTGAGTGGAACCGGCCCGCAAGTCGCCGTCCAGTTTATTGGACATCCCTTTGTGGTGTTTTGCGAAGTAGGAGGAAGTGGGTTTTGTGTTTGAGAGTGTGCTATTGATTTGAGTTTGACTTTACATGAAAGTAAGGTACAGTTACATTTAGGGAGAAATTGAAAAAAATATTTGGATAAAATTTCTCTATGTACAAGGATAGAGATTGGAGAAACCGAAAGAAAAAGAGAATAAAAAAGAGAGGAGAAAATAGTACAACGGATAACGCTATGCAGAGTTTTGTTTAGTTAGTTGTTTTTGTGTACATATGTTGTAACAGTAACATGTAGGGTGCTGGTGGGCAGTATAAAACCTATTTAATGGATCGGTATGGGTGTAGTTTAAATCTCTTAACCAATGCAGCAATATTCTTTTTTCACCTTAACTTGGGATGTGACCAATTGCTTCTCATCGCTACTAGTTTCTTGTTTGATCATTTAGTTTTTGCTCAGGCCCCATGTTGACTGTTATGAGATCTTTTCTTGTATTTGGTATAGTCAAAAGGTTTTTATCTATTTGTTTTGAAGAAATTGTTCGAGTTTTAGCAAAAACAGCTTTTTGGGATTCAAGGACAGATTCAAGCACCCTTCAAAACCATATAACAACATTCCTTTGAAAAAAAAGAAAAAAAGAATTGTTTGAAAGGGAAATGAGAGATATTTATGATTATTATTCTCATCAGGACTTGTAATTTGGGATGTGATTGAATTACTGCTTTGGGATATAAGGACATATAATATTTAAACTGATCACAAGGCAAAAGCAACAGGGAGAAGTAAGATCTGTTAAAACTAATAATATATTGTATTAAATAAACTGATCATTGCCGTTGTGCTATATGCAACTGATGAATGCAACAAAGAAGTTAAAGTTATCATCGTAACAAGTGCTATTAAGCAAATTGTTAGCAACAGAAGCTAGACGACAGCACTCCGGAAAATAACAGCTTTATCTTAAATCTATGCTATGCACTCACAAAGCATTTTCAGAAGTGAGAAAAAAACGATTTCTCACCATAACAAGGAGCTTCATGTGATGTAATCATTATTTATCAATTCTGGTCCTCATCCACACCAATTCATGGTTATTGGAACCCCACAACACTATTATTTTACCCCGAGTACGCAGTGTGACGGGTCAGAACTACTATCTGGGAAATTAAAACAACTCTATTATTCCCTTACATTAGTTTCTTATTCCCTCCTTCATGTAGATAAAGCAATTCGTCAACCGAGTTGATTTCCACTTCAAGAGACGATCGTGCGTGAGAGGAACATAAGGATCATCCCAACCTTGAAAAATAAAGGCCATCTGCTTCATGTGAAAGCCCTGGAATTAATTTCTTCAGAATTTTCGTGACAGAAGAGAGCTGCCAAAAATCCTTTCTCTTCACCTAAAAAGGCTCCAACTTGTATAATATATCTTGCTAATGACGTTCAGAATCCCTTGGCTTTATCAATCATTCACAAAAAGGCCGCGTTATGACAGACTCATGGTTAAGGGCCATCATATCATAAATTAGGTATGACCTCTGTTTCTGTGTGTCGGGCAAAGTATCAATTACCATCTCCCCATCAAGTGAAGTGTAGTGGTGGCTCTTTTCGGCTAAATCTTCACCACTGTGTTTGCATGGAAATCTCATCTCAACCTTTCGGAAGTTAGAAATGTCTCTATCAATTAAGAAACAACCATCTTTAGTGATCAACATCATATATCACTACTAAAAATCAGTTGTTTACATCTATGCAGCACTAGGGACAGAATTTCCAGGGTCGCTTAGAGTCCCTCGGTGCTTTTGAACTTTTTAAAATAAAAATAAAAAAATAACCGATGGACAACTCTAAATAACGACACTTTGACTGGTCAAAATTAACTGGTTGTACCGATGGACTCTGTCGGTAATTTACCGACGGCTTCTCTCGCAACTTTTAGTATTTATATTTTTGTGACGACCCGATAGGTCATTTTGAGTATTAACCTTAATTTCTGTATTTCGAGACCTCTCGTAGCTTCATTTGATGTTTATTGATATGCATGCGTCGTCCGTATCGCTTTTCAGAAAGCTTTTATATGAAATTTCGAAGAAAATGTGATTTTTGATTTAAATTAAGGCTAGAGTTGACCACGGTCGACATTTGTGGTAAACGACCTCGGATCGGTGTTTTGACGATTCTAGTAGATTCGTATGATATTTTTGGACTTGTACGCATGTTTGGTTGGGGTCCTAGGGTGATCCGTGCGTGTTTCAGCGCATTATTTGAAAGATTGTGAAAATTGAGTTTTAAGTTGAAATCTTTGAGTTTTGATGATCGATCCTTGTTATTTGATGTTATTTTGATAATTTGAGGTAGCGCGAAAGTTTTTAGGATGTTATTACACTTATGTGCATGTTCTGTTTAGAGCTTGGGGCTTGGGTAGGTTTCGGATGCATTGCGGAATGGTTTTGGGACTGCTGGTGCAAGACTCTGCTGGTGCCAATTGCAGGCCTCGCATTTGCGAGAACCTAATTGCAATTGCGAGCCTCGAATTTGTGATGTCTGGATCGCAAATGCGAAGAGGGAACTGGGGCTGGGATCGCTTTTGTAATAAATTATTTGCGTTTGCGGGCTGAGATATTTCCGCATTTGCGATCAATGTTTACGAATTCTGGATGTTTGATGCAGAGATCACATTTGCAATTAGTGTTTCGCATTTGCGGATATCGCAATTGCAAACAAGAGTTCGCAATTGCGACATGCGCGACTGAGTAAAAGTGGAAAAAAAAGACTTAGCTCATGTTACACCATTTTTCAACCCTAAACACTCTAGAGACGATTTTTGAAGAGGATTTTCTTCTCAAATTCATTGGTAAGCAACTTTAACTAGTTTTCAATAAATTCAATTACTTTTCCATGAATTTCATCATTAAATCTATAAATTTCAAGATAGAAAATAGGGATTTTGGGTAGAATTTAGAAATTATGTAAAATTGAGATTTAGACCTCAAATTCAGGTCAGATTTCGAAACAAATCACATATCCTGGCTCGGGGTGAATGGATAATTTGGTCCGAATTTCGGATTCGACCAAACGTGCTTGGGTTGACTTTTGTTGACATTTTTAAAAAATGATCAAATTGAACCCTTTTCATTCGTGGGTAGTTTCTAAAGCTTATTTTGGATTGTGAGATTGATAATTGGCTGATTCGGTTAGGTTGGAGGCTTGTTCGAAAGACAAAGCCGTGATTGATTGGTGATGGAGTTGCGAAAAGAGGTAAGTGTCGTGGTTAACCTTGATTTGAGAGAATTAGGACTTGATTGGTCTATTTGCTACTTGATTTATGTGTGGGGACGGCATATATACAAGGTGACCAGCGTATATACGTTGTCATGAGTTAAGCATGCAGGGCGGGCTACTTAGTTGTTTTTCTTCAAATACTTCATGAATTCAGTTATTCCATGTTTCTAAGCGTTAGACGCTTTAGTTGTTACTTGTTTCTACTCGTTAAATTCATGCCTTTGTTTGCTACACCCTAATTTGCTATATGTTTTCATGTATCAGTGTCTTTATTTGTTGACTGCCTTTACTTGTTTTGTGTTTCCATATGTTGTTAGATAGCCACTTTTACATGTTTCATGTCCTTAATTGATTATTTCCCTTGTTGCATTCATTGTGAAATACGTCGTAGTTGATTGTAGAGTTGTGCACATGTTGTTATGATATTTGGGGTCAGGTTGTACACCGCAACAGATATTAGTATTGTTGTTTGGGATCGGATTGTACGCTGCAACGGATATTGGTATTATTATTTGGTATCGAGTTGCACGCTGCAACGGATATGGATATATTGGTTGGGATCGGGTTGCATACCGCAACGGTATTTGTTTATATATTTGTGGATCAGATAATGGATAAGATATATTTGACTATTCTTTACTATTGGTTCCATATCCGTATTGTATTGAGAAATTGAGCATAATGATATTATAGGGCCCTCTGTTATGTACTTATTGTTCCCGTTTTTATGTCAATTGTTGTTCCATGTATTTTTACCATTGCTTTCACTTATACTCGTACAAGTTTATAGTGAGTGTCTTGTTATAGCCTCGTCACTATTTCGTCGAAGTTAGACTCGGCACTTACGAAGTATATAAGGCCGGTTGTACTCATACTACACTTTTGCACTGCTTGTGCAGATCCTGGTGTCGGTCCAGTAATGTTCAGTGGAGGCATTGCTCAGATTGTTTTCTTTTGTTTTTTCTTTTTTGCTTCTAAGTTTTGTTTTTTGTTTCCTCCAAAAATTGTCCCTTCAAAGGACATCCGATTAAGATTAAAAAAAATATATATATTTTTCAAGCTAAGATACTTGTTGATGATTACATTTTCTTATATTTTCCCTTTAATAATTTTTTTTGTTTTCTTTTTATTTATTTGCTTCTAAGTTTTTTCTTTTTCTCTTCTCCAAAAGTTATCGGTTCAACGAGACATTTGATTAAAAAGTTTTTTTTTTTAAAATACTTGTTGATGATTATATTTTCTTAATTTTCCCTTAATTTGTTTTTGTTTGTTTCTATTTCATTTTTGGTTTGGCTTCTAAGTTTTTGCTTTTTGTTTTCTCCAAAAATTATTTCTTCAGGGGGCCATTCGATTAAAGAAAGAATTTTTTTTAAGATACTTGTTGATTATTATATTTTCTGATTTGAAACGATTTATGCAAAAAAAAAAAAAAAAAAAATTGTGTGACAACTTGATATTTGAAGGAATTTAGAAACGTAATAACCTTTTCATTTATTCTCTTGCTAAAATGTCATAATTTAAGAACTTTGTTATTTTTCTTGTTTTATTTATCTTTTGATTGTCCAATTAATCAATGATATACTCGTATTTCAAAATTAAATACTTTAAGATTTGCATTTGACTATCTTGTATGCTTTTGATTTTGTCATCTAATTTTCAGGATTGGGGAAGAAAAACTAATTTTCAGAAGCAATCGACCAATTTGATAGATAATAAGTATTTTACTTATAATGTGACGATCCGATAGGTTGTTTTGAATTCTAGCCCTTACTTCCGTGTTTTGATACCTTTATAAGCCCATTTAGTATTTCTCAATCTGCAGGCGCAATCCGTGTCTTTTTTCGAAAAGATTTTATGTGAAAATTTGAAGAAAACATAATCTTCAGCTTTAAAAATAACTTGAGTTGACTACGGTTAATAATTTGTGCAAACGACCCTGGATTGGTATTTTGACGATCCCGGTGGGTTCGTATCGTTTTTTTGGACTTGAGCATATGC